GTTTGTTTATTTTTATTTTTATTTTATTTTAATTAGACAAGAGGAAGAAGACGGACAGATGGACGGAATGATACTTTATTGATCCCAAAGGGAAATCATTGTCTAACCGTTAGACAATGAAAGTGAAACAGCTGGTTTTAGACCATAACATCCCTTCCAGACAGCTTCCTCTTGCGTCCACAGTTAATCCTGTTGGATGTGGTTGGTCCTTCTTGGTGGTATGCTGACATTATCCTGGATACTGTGGCTCTTGATACATAACAAAGACTTGCTGTCTTGGTCACAGATGCACCAGTAAGACGTGCACCAACAATTTGTCCTCTTTTGAACTCTGATATGTCACCCATAATGTTGTGTGCATTGCAATATTTTTGAGGAAAACTGGGCTCTTACCCTGCTAATTAAACCTTCACACTCTGCTCTTACTGGTGCAATGTGCAAGTAATGAAGACTGACCAACCAGACTGGTCCAATTTAGCCATGAAACCTCCCACACTAAAATGACAGGTGTTTCAATTTCATTGTCTAACCCCTGTATATATTTGTGCTAACAAATGTCAAATATTAACAATTATTTTGCCGTGACATTTATAGCTCAGACTAATTTGCAATGCACGTCCTCAGATGGGATTATCTTAAAAGTAAAACTGTTTAAAAAATGAATAAACAATACATTTAATCAGACAGTGCATCAAATACAGACTAAAATATTGTATTACCGTAATTAAAATACTTTGGTTAACCATTTCAGGACAATCTAATGAGTAGATAAATGATAGTTTAAACTTATAGTGTTATACGCAGAGGGGGAAATGCATTTCTTCAAGGATTCCTGGGCTTTTAATGTTCCAGTTTTCTGTTAATGTGCCAATGTTAGTTCTCAGAGAGCAGTGTAAACAGTGAGGCACGCACCGCTTCAGAACAGGCTCCCTGCTAAACCACAGCTTGGCATTTCTTCATTTCTATTCCTCTACAGATTATACAAACAGTGACCTTTCTGAGCCTAGCTCCCTTCCCTCCCTGCTCCCAGAGTTTATGCTAATTTATTCTAATCAACTCCACATCTACCAAACACACACACACACGTGTGGCGCCAACCTTCCCTTAAAGCCTGGTTTATAGTCCATGAGAAGTGAGAAAATGTCTCGTTGACAAGGATCCGTGACTAAAATTGCAAATTTTTCTACTCACACCCCCAGCTGACACCCTCGTTATGCGCATGACAGCCTGACAAAACTACGTTTCATAAAAAATGTGCTAAGTATTGTGTGATTGCAGGTTTGTTTGTGAAAAGTAGCGGCAGTACGCTGCTTGTGTTTCTGCTGGCAGAGGCTATTAGAAAATACAGCCTTCTTTACAACTGTTCCAGCAAAAATGATAAAGATAGTCACATAAAACTTAGAAAGATCATTAAAGACTTGGTGGAAGGAGATTGGACTGAGACACAGGTGGACCTTTGTAGCTGTACGGACCAGGAGGCAGCACATCTTGGCCAGGCAGTGTAAGGACAAGTTCCCCCATTGCCTGTTGGAGACTGTGGCAGTCTCTTTATGAGCTTCATCTTCGTTAACATCAGCTCTTCCTCCTCTAGACATCCACTACATGTGTGATTTCCACACAGAAGTTTCTCTTTGAGCATGAAAGTCAAACATGTATCACAATCAGGTCAACAGATCCAATGTCTTATGTCTTGTTGAAACAAACCTTACCCTTCAACAAAGAGGCTCCGCCTCTTCAACAGTAATATCTTCCATCAATCACAAAGAGCCAAAGAATCAGTCTCTTCCTCAATCAACTCCACCCAAACCTTATTTTTTATCTTTCTCTCACTCTTTTACCTCACTCAGCATTCACACCATTGTTTACCTCGAGAGCTTTTTATTTTCTTAAATTCAAACTACTTTAGCATTTTTATAGCATATTACGTACAAACTAAATCAGAAATCAATTGTTTGGTTCAGTCAAGAATAGCCGTGCTATAATTTTTACGTTTGTTTGGTTTTATACTTTTTCAGTGGTGGACACCAGCCCTCTAAAGCACAAATCTGCTAATTGCGGACGTAAATATTTCGTTTGCGCTTTAGCGGTCTTGCTAATTTTTATAATTCATAAGCGGATTTTTGCTTTCTAAAATTAAAATGCAGTACCACTAATAACTAATTCTCTCCCAGTCATCATTATCTTGAACAGCAGAAGGTATGGCTGTCAATGAATCACAACACATGATCTATCCAACAGCACCCCTCCCAGATAAACACACTTATTGAGAAGGTATACATCKTTGCTGACTGTTGCTTTSGGTCASGGTTCTGATTTCCCACAATGCTTTGTGTCTGCTTACGTAGCAGGAAGGCAATAGCAAAAACAGTTAATGTTTGTTATCCATAAATTTTGTATGTATTGATTTATTTTACTTTACAATCGGAGCTCCTTTTTTTWAAAAAAAGTTTAAATTCTGGAGCTCAATACTTGACGTAATTGGTCGAAGCAATCGGCCAACGGAGTTACCCCTAATTTACATTACATGRGTTACGGCTGCGCTGCGCAGGTCYCAGCTGTGCGTTTAAAGTTCAGTTTACACCACCTCCGCTCCGCTCCGACAGACGTGCAGGAAGGCGATCGCGCAATAAATTCAGTGATAAATGTGGAAGTCAAAACAAAAAATAATTAATTCTGTGAAAGACGAATTCCAAACACAGCTGAAAGCAACGATATAAAGGCTTTTGGTATCTATGTTGAAACTGACTCGCTGTCAGCTTTCTGAAAGTTCTGATTTCAAAATAAAATCCACGTGTATCGTGTGTGTACACATATGCTTCATGCTACGTTCCCATCTGCTTCCCAAACAGAACGATACATTCTGACAGCGTTTGTGTAGAAATATTAATATAGCCGCAACTTCGACATTATTCCAACAAATTATCCAGCTTAAAAGTGTCTTATTTTGAAAATACGGATGTTGTGCTCGTTTCTTTTCCMGTTGGCGCGACTTAATCTTTAAAAATTGACTCCGACGCTGCTCCAGCATCTGTCAAAAATGGGATCTGTTCTAATTTTGACGCATCGCTGTCCGCTCACCGCCGCCCTGTGCAGCCAGTGTAACACTCTCATTGATTATAACGGGTGCATTTTTGCTGTGGAGGTCGGACAGCAGCGGAGTGGAGATGGAACGCATGTAGTGTAAATTGGAGGTTAGAGACGCAGAAATGATTTAAAGATGTTATGTGATGAAGACTAGTGGTCAACTGGCGCAACTACATGAAAAACTTTAAAATCCAAGCTCTTATTTTGAAGTGAAGATAGATTCCTATATGACCGTGCTTTCGTTTCCCATCACAAATCAAATCCGTCGTACCCAGAATGCATCGCTTCAGTTTTCCAGTCAACTGTTTTAAAATTACTTTATTGATGCTTCTTTAATGAAAAATCTACAACAAACAAAAGAAAAAGACAAAGAAGCAGCCGAACTAGCAATCCTCAACAACTTTTTAAAGAAGCAGCCGAACTAGCAATCCTCAACAACTTTTTAAAGAAGCAGCCAAACTAGCAATCCTCAACAACTTAATTTTAACACCAAGAGCTAAAGGTCTGTTCCAGGAAATCACATCCCCAGCAATCGGCGGTTATAGAATTAAGTTGTAAAAGAGTTCATACACGGCTAGTTGGCAGTGTTGTGCATATATTGTACATGAATTGTCAGCTAGTAAGTGTCAAACTGAAGTTGCGCTTTAAAATTAGCTTCCACTAGTTTTTCCATAACATAAGCGCTTTAGAAATTGTGGAGCTAATTTTTGGATTAGCGCTGCCCAACACTGTACTTTTCAACATATCTAACTAAAATAAAGATCTAAATTTCTTTTAAAACATTATTCTCTTTTAAATCTGTTTTAGTAGACTCGTTCTATACGTGTTTGTCATTTTATACCAATTTTTAGTTACTGTTATGCTACAAGTTGCATGTTAAGTTGCTCATCTTAGCTTTCAGCTACTGTTTGAGTGTTTTGTCTATATCTGTATTTTTTCTGTTTTTATGTCTTAGACACTGTATGCCACATTTAGCCCCATTCTGTTTGTTTTAACTTACACACTGCAATTTCAGGTTCTTCACTGAAKGTTCATTCAGATCTCAGCACACCGTGTTTCAGCAGAAATCAATTTATCCTGTTAAACAGATGTAGAAATAAATTCTGTGGACTCACCTCCAGTCCATCCTCATGCCGATACTGCTTCCAGATGCGCCCAGTGTCACTGTAGAGCAGCAGGTAACTGCTGACCCAGTCCCAGCTGTCATACCGTCCCTGTGTAGCCACAGCCATCACCTCCATCTGCTCCCTTAGGTCCACCTGGAGCCAGGGGTTGTGGTCCATCATCATGGGAGACCAACCTCCTGCTCCTGGAGGAAAGACGAGGGACTCTGCTTCAGATGCACAGAAAGCTTTAAAGTGAGCTGTTGAATGAGATTTCTTCCCTCTCACTTTTCTACCTCAGAGCCTTAAACTGTGTTGAGTTGAGTTAATGAGACACTGAGAGGTCTGAGGGGACCAGTAATCACCTCCTTTTTTGTGTGTTTCGTTTTCTCCTACCTCAGCAGAGGGCTTCATGAGGTCAGGAAAAACATGAGAACATGTTCACTCTGTTCTTTTAGTGTGAACGTCAGTGAAAACATGCATACACATATACATACATACATACACATATACATACATACATACACATATACATACATACATACACATATACATACATACATCCACATCCACATCCATACATACATACATCCACATCCACATCCATACATACATACATACACATATACATACATA